TTTGAACTATCCTGAGATTTGAACACACAGACGGCAGCTCCTTAAAAGAATTCTGTTGCTCCCAGAGCAGAAGCCCTCCTTGTATTTTCCGAGGGTTTTTTCCGTGTTGTACTCCAGGCTGCTTTGATCTTCATTTAGGTCACCTAATCTCTTGGTGACCCCTAGCTAGCATCTCTTCCTCATCCGTGTCCTCTTCCTCATGATGCACTGTAGTTGCAACTCTCAGCAGGAGAGGGGAACAAAAGATTTAACCTTTTGGAACAGAGCAGTCCCTTGGGGTCAAAATTTCTTCATCTTTTCAGCTCGCACCTCAGAACCTGAGGAGCCCGAGTTGCACAAGCTGGTGATGATGACAAGGAAAAGACTCAGGTGAAATGAGCCTCGTTGTTTTCCAGCAGTAAAGAAAATAAACTTGCTTCGTTATTTGTAGATGTGCTTCACCTACAACCAGGGAGCAGCACTTCCCAGCTGTTTTCAGTTCCTCTGTGGGAGGAAGAGCCTGAAGCAGGGGCAGGACTCTGCCCCAGCAGGGGCTGCTGGCAGGCCCAGGAAGGGGATGGACTGTCTGACAGAGGATGGACGGTTTATCTGACTCCCAGCCTTGAGAAATGAACTGCAGGTGTGTGTGTGTGTGGGGGGGGGGGGTTATGTTTTTTAATCCCAGAAAATAAGATACGATATGCATCTTCCCTTGAGTATACTCTAAACAAGGTAGGCTCCAGCTGCCCCTCTGAATGGGGAGGAGGGTCAGGTTGGAAGGTTCACCCCATCTCTATGTGAGTGGCTGCCAAGGCCCCAGAGGCTGGTGCTGACTCAGCCCGGAACGCCCTCTGGGGGCTGTGATGTCATCTGACTCCACTGGGAGCAGAGCAAACGGGGACAAATGGCCTCCCTGTGTGGCCTTGAAGATAAAGTCATTAACTTTTGTGAAAAAGCATGTTTAGGCTCCCAATAAAGTAATTAGAAAGCACTGAAGAAATCTAGATGATTCTAAGCTACCTAGCTATGTGCTGCTTTTGTTTTCTCCATTTTGGCTTCTTCCAGAAATAGTTCAGGCATTGTTTTCACCTGGGTTGTTTATCACCTGATGAGCTATTTTCAGAAGCTTCACAGGCAGAAATTTTCTGAAAATCTGGGGCTTTGCTTATATAAAAACCTTTTGCTTGGAGGAGGTGGATAAGTCTGTTCAAATAGCTACTGATATTACGTACTGTGTCCCTTAGACTGAGGAGGAAAAGAATCCACTTTCATTTCGCAGTCATACCAATGGGTGTCTTGGGAGGACCTCTTGCTCCATTGACAATAATTCTGTCACACTGTGTATGTTTCATTTACAGGTTTCATTTCCTACTTTAAGGACTTTTTTAATTACGCCTTTCCTCTTGCACCATGTTCAACTTCTACAGTAACACTGACCAATATGTTTTTATTGATGACAAATAATTTCCCTTCAGTGTCTCTCATCACTTCCCTCTTTTCTTCCTGGTCCTCTCCACCCCTCCACCTCTTCCTGCCATAACCTCATTGATATTTATATAGAAGCAGATATTTTTTGAGCATAAGTGGGAAATAGTTTATCTTCTAGGCCAACTGTGATCACTTGGCAGTGGCTGTGTAGGAGGACTTGGAGGCCACATCTGAGTTCAGTAAGAAGTAGTGCTGTGATCAATTGGTAATGTCTGCTGTGGGCTCAGCACAGGAGTGGTGATACAATGCATTGTATTTGTATTCCTGCTTAAGGCGGTAGGCCATTTTTCTTAAGAATGTGAAAAAGATGTGTTTCCAAGAATTAGTTGAAGGTGTTCCCACTTATGTTGCTTATATTTCATGCTTTACAATTTTTTTTTAGTATAGTCCTTGGGTTTTTTAAAAGGTGTTCCATAAACCTAATACCATAGCCATGTAGAAGCATTATGAGTCCTGTTAGACAGGATTGGCATCCCAGGAGGCAAGGAGCCTGTAAGGGTGGGGACTGGTATTGTCCTGTCATCCTTCAGGACACACTAGGATATTTGCCTCCCTTCAAGTAAGAAGCAGAAAAGCAGCACTAATGCGGGATAACTTGCATTGGTGTTCAGATCTGCCGATCCCGGGCCTTGTTGGGTTATTAGCAGGAGTATTCTGGCTGCCTCCTAGTTAGAAGGAACACTGCCTTCTACCTTTTTAAGGGAAGGACTCCGTTCCCTGGATGATATGTGACATATCACAGTGCTCCAGCCCCAGCAGCCATCTCAGCACAGTGACATGCACATCAATGGGGACAGCCATCTCTGTTAAATTCCCTCCCAGGCACTGTGGGGGGATATGAAGGAAAGCGAGGACCTGAGCCAGGACCTCATGGGGGCTGAGCGATTGCTGCAGAGGTGGTCCACTGAGGACAGAGAAACCTAGATCAGAGCACAGTTTGTGCAGTCGTCACTTGCCCGTGCTCTGTTGCTCTGGTTGCAGGTCAGCACTGAGCCTGTCTGCCTTGATCCTTTGGGCCCTTCACAGCTGAGCCCAGGATACTGTCAGGCCAGCCCACAGGTGGTAGTGCTGGGTATGTGCTTAGCAGGATGAGATACTGTGTGAGCATCCAGAGAGCCTTGGGCACAGCAGTCGTCATCTGAAAGCTAACTTATCCTGGGTGTTTAACATGTATCACATAAGTAAGCCTTGGACTGAGATTCCTAGGACCTATATGCGCATGACCAGGCACAAAACCATTCCAGATGGTGGCATCTTGAAGTATCTCAGGGGTAGCAGGCAGACCCTGGAAGGGAACGTTTAGGCTCTTTAGAAAAGTTATAGATCATCAGGACCAAGATAAGATTTGCTTGTGTAGATTTGACTTGCAAGGGAGTCAAACCTGTTGATGGGTATCTCTAAGCCTGGGATCTTAGTTAGTCATGTGTTTGCTTTTTAATTTTTTGAGGGAGACAGGATCCACTGAGCTGGTCAGGAAAGGTTCTAGAAGACGTTGCTATTTGAACTGGCCTTGAAAGTTGAACATGGCCTGGGAGGTGAAGGGAAGGCAGTGGGCAGAGCAAGTAGAGGCTGAGGGAAGAATGAGGCCAGCGTGTGTACCCCACACTCTGTCCCTTGGTGTGTCCTGGAGGCTCTGTTTCAGTGACATTCTACATCCCACAACTTCTCATATCCTCTGTGGCCACCACCCTCATTATTCACCTGGACTTTTGCAGTGGTCTTGTCTCACCCCATTCTCCCAGTTTCCATTCTTGCCTCCTTGAGGCCTCTTTAGTCCCCAGCACTCTGAGTGACTCTTCTAACACATACATCGGTGCTATTGCTCCTCTGCTCAAAACCCTCCGGGGGCTGCCCAACTTGGAATAATGTCCGGATGCCTGGTGGCCCCCACCAGGAGTGTCTGTCATTTCCCAGCATGCCGTTCCTGAACCCCACCAGCCGCTCACCCTTTCTGGGACTGGTGAAGTTCACTCCCACCTTAGGCCCTTTGCACTTGCTGTTCCTTCTGCCCTGGATGCTCTTCCCCCAGATATTTTCAGGACTGATTCTCTCATTTTATTCCCATCTCTGTCCGATGTCACCTATTCAGAAAGGACATCCATGATGACACTATTTATCAATCTGCACACACCTGTGATGAAGAACATGCTCCAATGTCTCTGTTATTTCTTAGATAACCATCATCACAGAAAAGTTGTAACAGTATCTTCTTATTCCGTATCTAGATCCCACAAGGTCCTTCGAAAGTACTCCTGCTCAAATAGGACTTCAAGTATTGTCTTGCTTGATTCACTCTCCCTGAACCCCTTTGTGAAACTGCCTTGCAGATTTAGTTTGAAAAGAAACTGAGTTCATGCAGCAAGTATTTGCTGAGCACTGTCTATGTGGCAGGCACTGTTCTGGGCACTGAGAACATGGTGAACCCCCAATTACTCCCTCCCCACTGTACACTGAACCAGTCCCAAGGAGACAGAAAATAAATACCCAGGAAAATGTGGGGTTGCAACTGGGCTGTGGACAAAGACAACGCCAGGAACGGGGAGTGAGCAGTGTCCTGACCCCACACAACACTTTCACAGTGCCGGGCAAGCGCTCTCTTGTTCCGTTTCTGCCTGGAGTGTAGGAACGGACATGGGGAGGAGAGTGGAAGAGTTCTCTGTCGCTTCATGTTGTGAGGAAGGCTGCGTCTGACACCCACTTGAGAGCCCTCTCTTAGATATAACTGTGGGGTCAAGAAGTTGAATTCAGCCACATTTCTGATGTTCTGCTCCCTCAGTCACAGAGCTCGCTGGCAACAGAGAGAAAATTGTGTTGATAACTTATCCCCAGCTGAGAGACTGCTCACCTAAGATACGTCATCTATTTCATTCAAGAAACCACACAGGCAAGGCCAGTTGCCCTGAAACCAGGATCCTGGGTTTTCTTGGTTCTTTCAAAGGCTCTTCCAGATTCCTGGCTGTGTGCCTGTCAGCCTCTCTATTGGAAGGTTTCTCTGGAGGACCCCTCACGCATCGTCCCTCCCTTCCTTCTGCACCTGTCCCCTCCCCTGCCTTTTCCATGGTCTGCTTCCAGAGGGATGGAGGTTTTCCTCTGCTTCCTCTCCTCTGACATACTCCCAGCTTGAGAGGAAGCCTTGGGGTACTCTTGGTGTTGTACATTCTTGTGTTTGGACGGATTTATAACGACATGTGTCCACCATCATAATATCATGCAGGTGGAATCGCTAACAGTCCCCCATGCTGCACCTAGCCATCCCCCTTCCCACCTCCCAACTCCCTGGCAACACCTCATCTATCTACTGTCTCCATAGTTTTGCCTTTTCTGGAATGTCATACTGTTGGAATCACACAGTATGCAGCCTTTTCAGACTGTCTTCTTTCACTTAGTAATATGCACTTAAGGTACCTCCATGTCTTTTAGTGATGACACCAAAGAAATGGCTTGATGGCTCACTTCTTTTTATCTCTGAATAATATGCCATTGTCTGTACCTACCGCAGTTTGTTTACCCATTCACCTCTTGAAAGACATCTTGGTTGATTCCGAATTTTGGCAGTTATGAATAAAGCTGCTATTAAACATCTCTGCACATGTTTTCTGTGGACATAAGTTTTTAACTATTAATAATTTGGGTAAATACTGAGGCGCACTATTGCTGGATCACATGATAAAAGTATGTTTAGTTTTGTAAGAAACTGCCAAACTGTCTTCTAAAGTGTCTGTAGTACTCCATCAGCTGGTTTTGATTCCTAAGCCACTTTCATTTAGATGAGTCTAATTTTTCTAGAAAATACTTCAGAAATATACCAAATATGAATAATACAAGACCCTTTTCTCACTGCGCTTTTATGTGGGACTTAAACGTGAGGCACAGCCACCTTCCCTCTTCCTTCCATGGTCTTCCTGCTCTCACTAGAGCAAAACCATCTCAGCAGAAAATGTCCTCTTTTCCCTGCTCCCTCTTCCCTTTTGCTTCCCATTTCTGCCCTTCCCCCACCAAAGTTCAAGGGGTAACTAGGGAAATGGGCAAGAGCAGAGTTGGTAGGGAGATCCCACTCCCATTTTCCCACAGAAGAGCTATATTGCATCTTCTCTGGGATTTTTGTTTTCCTTTAAAATGCTTTAAATTGGCACTGCTAAAAGGTACACAATGCTCTCTTCCCCGAAACCCTGGGGACTGCATGCCTCATTCCTCACTGGTTTGTCTCCAGAGTGAGCAAATGAGATTCTGCCCATACGACTAAGTGCATTTGGGGCGTTCGCTGAGCAGCTCTGCTACACGTGGCCATAAGAACACACATTGGCCTGAGGAGATAAGACAGGGGCCCTAAAATCGAGCAGTGGACCAAGACAAAGTTAAATGCATCACCCCTGTGTGTTTCCTCCCTCTTGGGTCCCCCCCCCCCAGTCTCTTTGGAACCCACAGCTATAAAACACCGGGAGTGAGTTTTGTTTGTGACTTGTCAGCCTTGTTACTTTATAAATAGGCTTCATGTTGTGCAACCTGAACACTCTGGGTTAATATAAGAGACAGACAGGCATGGACAGATGAACAGAAGGACAGAGAGAAGCACTGATAGGGGAAAGGAGCATTCCAGGTAAATAAGGGCAGATCGGATCGTGGAGGTCCCGCTACAGCCTTTCGCAAGGCTCTAATGAGTGGCCTGGTCAGCTCATGTGGCTGCCAGTTTGCTCCATTTCCCCTGAGTTTGGGTACTTCTGCCTATCCACAGTTGGAGTCTCGATGACCTGCAGCTGAAGGGACTCTCCCTGTTGCAGTCCAGAATTTTCCAACAGGGTGCACTATTAGCATGTTAAGCAGGACAAAGTCCTATGTATTACAGAAATTTAGCATCCCTGGCCCCGCCCATTAAATACCAGCAGTGCCACCCTAGTTGTTGTGATAATCAAAAAACAATCTCCACAAGTTCTCAGTTCCCCCCAGGGAGTACTATAAGCAGTGACAGCCCCATGGGCAGTGGGGTGGTCTGGTTGGGGTCTCCCAGTGAAAGGACATAAATCTGAGCCCCACCCCCACACCTGCCCTGGGCTCCTCAGCAGCTGGAGCCTGCACTTGTCACCCAGGCCTTTCTCACCTACTCTTTCCTCTTCTCCTTCCTCCCGCCTCTTGCTTCTGAGGCCCAGGAGGAGAACTAGAGATCTTGCCAGTCCCCAGCGTGATGTGGGCTGAGAAATGTGAGGCTATAAGAACTTCAGGGTGTTTTCCCCTTAACTCTTGAAAATCTGCCATTCTGGGGATTTCTTTCCTCCTCGGTCTGACCTTGCTTCTTAATCAGCTGCCCGTATCTAGTCAAATGAGAGTTCCCAGGGGCATTTACCAGCCCCAGTGGTGGATGGTGGTGACTGGCATCGGTGCGCCCCTTCCCCAGGCTCTGCCCCAGGCTGATGCTGCATCCATCTGGGATCCGGCCAAGTCACACTGGCATTTATGTTGGCTCAAAGCCCAAGCTTCTCAGTGCCTCCTGCAGGGTGGTTCCAGGGTGCCCTGAGTGCCGTGGAGCAGGGGGAAGAATGAGTCTGTCATCACCAAGCTATTCACATGCAGGAAATAGGACACAGTTCAATAGTTGCTTATTTTTACCTCCTCCCTGCTCATACCCTACTTCTAACCCACTCGAGTAAGTGATGTCTACACATGGCCTTGATCGAGCTGAGAGGATGGGCCTGGCTTGACTGGGGATGCCAAGAGGCTAACTCTGCTGGCCTGGGGTCCACATGAGCAAGCCACTGCTGACCTGCACCCAGAGGATGGCAATTCTTGGGCCCCCACAGGCCATGGCAGCTGAGATGGGGCCAGTGGGCCTTCATGGTTGGGGAGGGGCTTGCAACATCCCCACGGATTCTTCCAGAGTTGGCGTTTGGTTCCTGTACTTCCTGGCAGCCAAATGCCGTCTGCTGAGCTGGTTCCCAGTGCCAAGGGCCCAGAGCACCTCAGGTTGGCACGGTTTCTCCGCAACCTCAGAGCTCGGCCCTAGTAGAGCCTGTTGGTGATTCAGCAGCTGGGGAACTCCAGCCAGCACGAGAGGGCTCAGTGATACTCACCCTGTTTTCTTGCAATTCCAGGAACTTGGATGGGGGCCCTGGGAGCAGGCCCAGGGGAAGAGGAAGTTTGACTCAGTACCCAGCCCCTGGTCCAGGTCTCTGATAAGGCTTTTACTCTGTGGGAAAGACAACTGCTTCCTCCTAGCAAGATAGGGTGTGGCAGAGATCTGCGCAGATGGGAGCGAGCACCAGGCCTTCCTCACTCCTCACAGATGCTCGGTACTTCCTAGTTAACTAACTGGTGGTTGGCCAAGAACGTTTTATCTCTGTATGCTATTTGCTCTGCTTTTAGGAGGGGGTCCTCTCTGACCACCAGATCCGTGGACAGCCGTGTTCCATACGGCTTGGAAGTGGGCAAGGGTATTGAGATAGTAGAGGAAGATGTCTGTGTGGCAGGGTGAGGTGTTGCCTGCAGGGCCTTAAAAACAAAAGTGTCTCTAGAGGCTGTGCCCGGCTTCTCCTAAGAGGGTCTCTGTGCTTTTTATTTAGTTTATCTTTTGCATGCTTCTCAAGACGTCAGGAAGAATGCATCACCTCCTTTTGCAGCTGCGTCACCTCTCTGATGATCCCATGTTACAGTGTCAGTCTTGGGCATTTATTAGGGCCTCGACTCTAAAAAGCTCCAAGTATTTTGTGGATATTCTCATTTGTCCCTTGAAGTAGAAAAAGAAAGATAGTAATCAGTTCTCCTGAGTCAGAGATGATGGGAAGGACGTCTAGGCTGAGAGGGGGAGAGACAGGGAGACGGGTCTATGGGCAGGACCTGAGTGGGCTCTGCCCCCAGCCCAGCACTCACAAGCCTCAGAAGGTGCAGAGAGAGAGCCCGCCTGCTGGAACAGTCAAGAAGCATTGCAGAGGACTTGGGGATTGGAAGGCTGGGTAAAAATGAGGTCAGGCAGTGAGGTGAATTTTCTATGTAGGAGAGAAGATGTTAGCATATCTAGGAGACCTGGACCAGACAGACACATTTGGATGGAAGAAAGGGCTTGAATCAGGAGCATTGCAGAGACTGCAACACCACTGAGCATGTTTATTCCCATCATCTAGACTGTAAACTCCTGGTGGCAAGTCCTGGCTTTGCTTGAGGAGCCCTTGGACACACAGTGCTCAGGAAGTGCCCATCAGGCTGGGTAACCTCCCGCTGCGAAGCCATCTAATGAGCTCTGCACCCCTTTTCACTCTCTCCTATCCTCCTCATGATATGGTCAGGCCTCTTGGGGGTCACTGCATGCAGGTCTTTGTTTTCTCATAAAAGTTTCAGGAAAAGCCTACAAAATGAGTTAAGGGTGGGAAAACAAAACATTTCATGGGTCATCTGATTGGGTGACCAAACAACTCAGGATCAACTTGGCAGCCAGTGCAGCATACGTAACTCCAGGCTTCAGATAAAGTTGACACATCCTTCGCTCCTTCATGGATGGTTCTGTGTCCTAGAGAGACTGTTTAATATCATTTAAATAGAAGATACATTTTTAACTTGCCACCCAACTGAATGATAATACAGCTGTTTATATTAGAGTTCAAAGTAATGGTTTTTAAGACTTAGGATTGTTTCTCATAGGGAGAGTACGCTGTAGATGCTATGAGAGAAGGAACTTTTAGTTCCTCACTGGCCATCCAGCACCTAGAACAATGTCTGCTGTATGGTACATTAGGTGTTCAGTATGTACTTGTTGAATGAATGAATGTCCAGATTTAAGCGCTGTCCATCTCCACTTAAATCAGAATAAGAACCAAGACCTAGGCCAGGTGAGGTAGCTCAAGCCTGTAATCCTAGCACTCTGGGAAGCCAAGGCAGGAGGATCACTTTAGGTCAGGAGTTTCAGACCAGTCTGACCAAGAGTGAGACCCCATTTCTACTAAAAATAGAAAAAATTAGCCTGGCTTCGTGGTACACACCTGTAGTCACAGCTACTTGGGAGGCTGAGGCAGGAGAATCACTTGAGCCCAGGAGTTTAAGGTTGCAGTGAGCTATGATGACACCACTGCACTGTAGCCCAGGCAACAGAGCAAGACTGTCTATCAGGGGAACCCCCCCCCAAAAAAAAAAACTGAAAAAACAAGACCTAGAGCTGTAGCCACAGAAATTTAGAATAGGAGTGAGAAAGGAATTCCTGAGGATCAACTGGTTTTCCCATTTCCCATCTGCATACTATCAGTACTCACTTTCCTCCAACTCTGTTTTTAAGCTTGTGACCTCTTAGAGAAATTCAGTTCAATGCACATGTATTAAAAACCTAAGTAGGTGCGACAGCATTATGCCAGCTGTGAGGATGGAGATGAACAAGCCACAGTTCCTGACCAAACTGGAAGGGGGAGACAGATAAGACCTGAAAACATGCAAACTACAAGGCAGAATAAAATAAAGACTGCCCTAAGGAAGAAATGATTATTTCTGACATTTGAGCAAGGCTTTGGGGGCAGATTTGATTCCTACGGCTAGAGGATGCAGCATGCCAACTTGAGATTTCAGCATAACATTAATGAAAACTGTCAATAGCAGCTACTATTTGTTGCATGTTCACTATGCCTCACTCAACATGCTGCACGGTCCCCTTGTGTGTCCCCTCGTTTACTCTCTACAGATCCTCTGCGCAGGAGACACACATGTTTATCTCCTTTCACAGCAAAGGAAACTGAGGCTCAGGCAGCTAAACAAAGGTCAGCAGCTGAAAGGACTCTTGGGTCAGGATCTGAGTGGCGTGAGCCCAAGGTGCCAAGCTTGGGGATGGGGAGCCCTTTGCAGGAAAAGGGGCCAGTGCCAGGCAGCTGGGGTCAGAGTGCATTGGTGGAGGGCATTGGAGGAGTTTAGGTAGCAATTGGGTCTAGGGCCAGGTTATGCACTTCAAATCTCTGCTCAGGACTTTGGACTGGGTTCTGTCTCTGCACGGGTCTCTGCAGTGTGGAGCCCAAGGAGAGTTTAGAGGAAAGGAGTGATTTGGTCCAGCAAGCTCACTCTGGCAACAGGAGCAAAGGTTGGGGAGAAAAAAGGCTGTTGGCAAGAAAAACCAGTTCAGCAACTATTGTGATAGCCCAGGGAGGGATGATGAGGCCTGAATTGGGGCCCTGGCAGCAGAGATGCAGGGGGATGGATAAGATGGACTGTGCGGAGGCTGGGTGTGTAGGAGGGCTTGGCTTGGATGTGACAGAGGAGAGGGAGGGGCTGACAGTGGCTGCTGGGTCTTTAGCCCTGCCCAGGACTGAGGAAGAGGCTGGAGGAGGTGAGTTTAGTTTTGAACATGTGACTTGGAGGACAGGAGAGTGGGGAAGTTGGAGGTGATGTTTGGGGCACCGAGGCAGGGAAAAGATCCATGGTAATGCAGAATCAGTCCAGTGCCTTTGGTGGTCTGTAGCGCTGACATCAGCAGCCCACGATTGTCTGCCTTTGCCATGGTATGGAAGATTCCGCCATTCTCTGGTAGTGTGGATATTGTTGCTGTCCCGTGTGGCTTGGACATTTTAAGGATAAGTCACGGGTCTCAGATTTCTTTTTTTTCTTTTAATTTACTCACAGTAGGTAGGTGCTCAATAAATATTTGATTAATTAATATAAGCAATTCTTTAAACCCTCAAAAGGTATAATATTTCAAGATCAGTCCATGGAATATCAGTGGCCTGTAGCAACCCTGGGGCCTTAAGTAAAGCCCTTTTGTTGAGGTCCTCTCAGTGAGTTCTGGAGGGAGGGCAGGGATGGGGATCGTGACCACCTCCTTCTTGCCCTGAACATCCCAGAAGTTAGGATGAAACAAGCCAAGGAGAAAAGCCAGGAAGAAGCACCATCAACTGCCATGTTTAGTGGGTGCTTACAGTGGTCTAAGGACTTTGTGTCCTTTATTTTGTTTCATTTCATTTAATCCTTGCACTAGTCCTGTGAAGAGGTGTTATCCTTAATTTACAGATGAGGACACTGAGGCTCAGCAAGATTAGATGATGGAGCCAAGGTCTCAGTTGGGGAGTGGCAGGGTCGGGATTTGAACCCAGGCCTGCTGGCAAAGCTCCTTTCTGTTCTGCCATGGCAGACTCCGAGTCACATGTAGAAAATGGTCGAGAATGGTGGTGCCGGTGCCAGTCTGCTCGTCGCTCCTGCCTCCCTGATCCTGAAGGTTCATTCTCAATGCTTTGTTTTTTACCACTTCCAGATGGATGTGGAAAGTTCCCGTGGGCTTTCAGGTAATGCTGGCTTATTTTCTGTGATGTCATCATCATGAGGTATTGCCTTAGACTCATCAAGTTGGAATTCGCTGCTTGCGGCCACTCCAGGAGTCATTGGGAAGGGCAGCCGGGGGCCCAAGCTCACGGACCCAAATGCATTCCCTCCTGGGTTGCGATCTTGGAATATATTGGCGAGCCCGTGTTAAGGCTGCTCCCATAGGCCCATCTGCCCAAGGGATCCGATCCTAAGTCCCTTGTTTCTAAACCCCACTCCTTGCCATTCCCAGAGTTTTCCCAGTCCCGCCTGGCCAATGCCTCCACACACTCCTCTGCAGCTTTGCCCGACAAGAGAAGTGCCCATCTGGAGCCAGTGCACTGGCATCACTGTGAGCAAGGGCAAATGTGAACTGTCACCTCTTCCTGGGAGAGCGACTTGGCCTCTCTGAGGGCCGGGCCGTCCTCCCACGGGGAAGTCACATGGCCGCCTTGGGCCCTGATATCCTAAGCAGGGTGTGGGCAGTGCCAAGGGGAGCTCATGGGGCCCCAGTCCTACCAACTTCCCTCATGGGCCTTCTCTCCCTTTTCCTCCTCCTCAATCACTTCTTGCCCTTGAAGCCAGCACCTTCACCTGACTGTCGACCTCCTGGATTTAAAAATATTGATAAAATTGTATAATTTGGCAGTTTTTGCTATACAGTTAAAATTCTATGTTTGCAGATAAAATTTAAACGTTGGGATGTGATTCCTAAAGGAAGATGCCACGGCCTGTGCTGGCCAGCCTGCATTCTGTGTGACCCATTTACCTAAATTTTTGTGCCCTCATGAGTGTCCCCGCAAACCTGGAGCTCAGCTGCAGTGTTCCCACCCGCAGGTACACCCCACTACTTCCTGAGCTCCTGGCTCTGTCCTCATGACCCCCAGCTCTACGCATGGTAGGGGAGGAAGGAGGAAACCTGGCTGCACCCCGAGCACTCACACTCCCTTCTGCCCTGCTCTCTAGCACAACTCCCATCCCTCCCGCCCTGAATTTGTTCTTCACGCAAATGCCCTTTCTTGCCACCTCCTCTGAATCCAAAGCATCCTTCAGCCAAAAGGACCTGCTGCAACCTCTCTCCATCCTTTCCACGTCTCCTGACAACAAAACCTCACTCTTCACCCCTTCACTCAGGAAGCCTGGTAGGGGTGCCCCAAACAGAGGAGAAGCAGAGCTCTTAATATAGTGGAGGGAGCACCTGGTCCACACCGGGGACTAGTTAGGAGCCTGCAAGAAAATACTGGCTGCAGCAGAGGCCGGAATGGGACGTGGCCACTCAGCTGGGCTGGCCAGGGGCCCCAAGATGCTCGCCCCAGGTCCAGGCACCACAGCTGAGTGTCCACAGAAGGAGGTGGTCACCAGGCTTACGGGTGGTTGAGGGCTGAGAGTGTCCCACACTGAAGGCTCAGCCTGGTCTCCATCCAGAACGGCTAGTCCCATGCATGAGCGAGGGGCTGGAGTGGGGGTGCCCTCCTCGGGGGCCTGGGGGGATGGGTGCCCAGCCTCTCTCAACAGCACTTCCCACCAGCAGCTCAGTGGATGGGTTTCAGGGGCTCACGAGATAAATAGGCTAGCCTCTCTTTATACATTGCTTTTGTTGGGAAATTTATCTGAGTCCCAAACAGCTGAATTAGACACATGGCAGCCCTAGTCCTCCCTTCAGGGCAGCTCTGGGTTCCCACTGTATTTGGGGACTGGGGGAACCAGAAGGGTTTTCTTCCGTTGTGTGTGGTTTTCCCCTAGATGCCTCCCTCTTCTTTTCATTTTTCTTTTTGAAGTCCACCCTTGGGATTCCCCTCTTTGGAGCTATTTAAACAGACATGGGATGCACCAGGAGCAGCCTGTGAGGAAGGGGTTCCTGCCTCCCCACCCCAGGGCCCGTGGCAGGCGAGGGCCAGCTTTGAAACTCAGGCTATGGAGCTTGTGGCTGCAGGCCACCACACCTGTCCACCTTGTCTCCCTGAGCCACTGCATGCCAGGGGGGTCCCTGTGGCTGTCCTCTCCCCACCTTTCCTTTGTTTCTGATGAGCCTTGGAGCAGCCCAGGCCACGCATTTCCGGAAGGCCTTCCCAGAGCCCGGCTGTCCATGCACAGTCGTGTGGCCAGAGGGCCGGTCCCTGGTCTTATGCTTATGGGGCAGCCAGCGAGCCTGGACACTCCACCTTTGCCCCTCAGCAGACCTTGCTCTCGGGGAGGAAATCGGAGGCAGTGGGAACATCCCAAGAGGCAGCGGATATGGCCTCTGGAAGACAGGGTCACACCCCAACTGCGGGGCCTGCTCGTGTGCTGTGTGGACTCATCTGGGGACTCATTTGTAACCGAACACACTCCTGTCAGTGTTGCATGGTCAGAAGGGCTGTCCTGTGAGATGGTAATTAAGCACTCTCTTGGGCATGGGGGCTGGACAGACTTGAGTTTGAACTTGAATTGCTGCAGGAACTTGGGCAGATTTCTTTTGGGTATTTCCACCAGCTGGGCCGGAAGGCAGGGAGGCTGGGAAGTGCCTGTGTCATGGGTTACGGTGAGAATTAAGTAAGATAACACATGCAAACCCTAGTGCTGGCCCGGAACCAGTGCATGCCCAATAAGAGCTGCACACCCACCTGAGGAGCGAGGGGCCTGACCCCTGTTGTCCTGGCCCAGGGCCCTCTTGGGGAGCCCACCGGGTAACTACAAGGAAGCAGAGGCCTCGCCTCTCATTGCAGGGCCCCCACGTAAGTCATGTGTGAAGCAGGACTGCAGCCAGCAGTTGTTTTCCATGGGAATGTGAAGGTGCAGAAAGGAACTATTCTTCTCGTGTGGCTCAAATTATGCATAAAAACCCAGCAGCTTTCATCTGTGGAACATGGTGGTTTTGCAAACTTTAATTCATTTCCAAAACATCTTTGTCAATTTGGCAGCTGCTGGCTCACAGGTGAGGAGCAGAGTGGGGGAAGTCACTTGCCCCAGGGCTGGGGGAGCAGGCTCCCATCACACACCCTCGTTGTCCTGGAGAGCGGGTATTTGTCTGTGCTGTCTTCGAGGCAGTTGTATGGCAATAGCTTTCTTGTCTTGGTTTTGCTGAAGCAGAGGTCGACGTGGAGCCCGGGAACTGTGCTGACTGTTCACCCTGACTGACAGGATGTGGGGCAGGGAACTAGATGTGAACATAATTCATTAGTTAAGGGACAGATCGTGACAGCCGGTCACGCTTCCCTTTGAGAGGTATGCAAAGCATCCCCAGTGTCGTCCTTTGACATTATTATGGGTCACTGGCTGACCTTAGCCCAGAGTGGTTTGTGGTGGTGCCAACAAAGTCAGAATGTGACCGTTCCCCTGCTTTGAGCGTGCAGCCACTAAGGCTTTTCCTGGCTTGAGTGGGAATGCCTCACTTCCACACCCGGTATGTGGATTGTAGTGTTACCCTTTTAAATGTGTCTGGAGGAAACCTCAGAGCCTCAAAATTAGCATCTATTGTGCAGCAAGAAAGAATTGCTCAGGGAAGAGGTGTCTGATTTTAGTGATTTTTCTCTCCCCATTCCCCCATTCCCAACTTCCAACTCTAGAACCAAACATCTGAACCAAATATCTGGTTCAGGACTCTGAAAGTCATGGGGATATCCGTGCCAGACTTCCAGGGAAAGCAGTCCAAAGTTCTCATGATGTTTCTCATTTCAAAGGCCAAGAGGAAAGTTGTGAGCCTGATTGCTTTATCTGTGCCAAGTGTGATTTTCCTTTGAGAGTCGGGACTTCTATGTCTACACCCTAAGATGTAGGGGCAAGGAGCTTCCACAGTCTGCAGAGTAGGGGGTTGCATCTTCCCTATAACCCAGCGGTCCCCAACCTTCTTGGCACCAGAGACTGGTTCCATGGAAGACAATTTTTCCACATACCAGTGGGTGTAGGAGGGATGGGAGGCATGGTTTCAGGATGATTCAGGCACATTCCATTTATTGTGCACTTTATTTCTATTATTATTACATTGTAATATATAATGAAATAATTATACAACTCACCATAATGCAGAATCAGTGGGAGCCCTGAGCTTGTTTTCCTGCAACTAATGCTGCCGCTGATCTGACAGGAGGTGGAGCCCAGGCAGTGATGCGATCAATGGGGAGCAGCTGTAAATACAGGTGAAGCTTTGCTTGCTTGCCCACTGCTCACCTCCTGCTGTGTGGCCCGGTTCCTAACAGGCCACAGACCGGTACAGTCCTTGGCCTGGGGGTTGGGGACCGCAGCTGTAACAGGTAGAACTTTGTTTTCTGTGCTGACTTGATTCACCTGCCGTCTAGGCTGACCTCCTGGAGGCCCCGCCCCTTTGCACACTGTGGCATCCTTTTGTGTTTCAGTTTTGGGAAGTCATTCTAGTTTAGTTCATGCTGATTTCATAACCCATAAGAGGTTCCTTTTTCAGTGGAAGTTTGCTGCCCTGTTTCCAGAAACCTTCTGTACTGTAATGTGAGGGCACATATGGTCATCTGTTGGCAGGGACAGCTTCATGGGCATGCGACCTGTGTGGTCACACAAAGCTCCACGCTCACAAGGACCCTAAGCTTAGGGTTTAACACTCTACAGTTGCAGTCTTGGAATTCTTATAGTTTTATCTGTGAGTCTGTGTCTTGTAGGTGAAACCGGTGGGACAGTGGATTGTACACTGGGGGCTGGAGCCATGGTTCCCATGATCTTGGCTCCTGCCTCCCCTGAGTGGGTTCTTGCCCCTGCCACACTCTCTCTGCCCCTGGTGGGGCTACACAAGAAAGGCTGGGGTTAGGTGCATGCCCCCCATAGCATCTGGGGACAGGGCATGTGGCAACTGTCCCCATGCTGGTCTGGCAGCTCCCTGGCATGTTCAGTGGGCAGCTGGTCCAAGTACCCTGCGCGTCCTGGCATGAGGATGCGATACCTTTAGGGATCACCCAACTTGGGTGGGGGCAGCCAGTCCTGGGAAGAAGAGGTACCTGACTAGACTTCTCCACCCCAACCAGGCCACAGCCTGTTGGTCCAGCTGCTCACTAGAGAGAAAACCCCAGAGGCAGTGGGTCCCCGGCTCACTTGCACACTCTGTCACTGGGGTCCCCATGCACCTAGAAGGGGCTGCACTCAGCCTGCAAGTATCCTCATGCCCAAAGGAGTGCAGTGACTTTTATAGTAAATAAAAAAAACATGATGACGTGCACAACAATGTGAATATACTTAACGTCACTGAAAATGTACACTCAAAAATGGTAAATTGGTTATGTATATTTTCTCATGATAAAGAATATATTTATAAGGTGTTAAAAAACAAAACCAAAAAGCCCACCATGACAGATGGAGAGAGCCACTGTGGAAGGAAGGAAGAAGTTTTATATTTTAGTACCTTTAATGGGAATGTTTTTCCTGCTTTTTGAACACGGGGTCCTAGGTTTTCATTCTGCCCTGAGCCCTACAAGCGATATAGCCGGGCCTGTCTGTTGGCCACTTTGTGAAACTACCAAGCCTTTGCCTTTCAAAGGGCCTGCCCTGGAAGGCTCTGAGGACATCATCCATTGCTGAGCAGACTCTTACCTTTTCTTTCTTCTCCACCCCACAGGTATCGTGTTGGCCATGTGCCAAGCCCTGGAGAACAGCACGTCCTCCCAGAGCGGTGAGTGCAGCTGCCCGGGCGTGTGGTGTGTGAAGGGAGCAGGCCTGCCAGTGTGTGCAGCCCGAGCTGTCACCTGACGAGCTCCCACCATGGCCTCCTGACACGGAGCCCACACCTGTGTCTCAGCCCCTTCCGCCCCTCCTCATAGGCCAAGGGACAGGTCTTCACTGCAGTCCCCAGAGGGGCTGTCCCTGCTCCCTCAGGGTCCACCCTCTTCCCTGTGTCTCTCTCTTCAGCTGTTCAGACAATTCACATGGGCAAGTGTGCAGGACCCGACAGCTCAGAACTAGCCATACTTTCCCAGCTCACATGATATAGCTCATCTAAAGAACAACCCCAGTTCCTAAATCCCTTTGTCAGCCTCTGCCTGGTGATCTTTGTTTAGTTATTTTCTGGTTTATGTTTTGATACTTGTAATAATAGTTCCTTTTTTATTTTTTTTCATTTTAAAGATCCTAAGTCAACATATTGGAGAGCTTGGAAGTGTAGGAGGCAAACTGCCCACGATCATTGCGCTGCGGGAAGCAGCCCCGTTCCATTGGCGTGTTGCTTTCAGCCTTTGTTGGTGTGTGTTAATATTTTATATGATTAGTCCTGGTGAGGAAACTATTTTGATTGTTGCTTTTTAAACTCAAATGTTGGAGTTGTGCATTTTTCCGTGTTGCTGGAAAGTATTGAAATCTATTCTTTTGAAATGTCACAACATCCTATTAAAATGGATACATGTGATTTAATGAAACGTTCCCCACTGGATATTTATGGTATCTCAGGTTTACATTATGGTGCTATTAATGCATCTTCATGCCTGGAAACTTCTTCCTTCTTTTGAATTTTTTCTTCAGAATATATCTCCAGGAGCAGGAATAAATACATTTTTGACCCTTGGGACAAATTGCAAATAGCTTTTCCAGGTGAATTGGGCTGGTTTTTATCAGCGGCGCGTGAGCATGCCAGTTTCACTCCTCCCTCGTTAGCACAGAGATGTGCCCCTGACTTCTGCTCCCGTCTGTTACTGCAGCAGCCTCCTGGTGTGTCTCCCAAGCTATTTCAGGGAGGTTCTACTGGGATGGGGTGGGTTTTTAATATGTTCATAAATTCTCTAACCAACCCCACAGCGTCCCTGGTGCTTTGCTATTCTCTTCCAGACGTTTCCCTCCAAACCCACTGGGTACCACTGCTTCTGCAGCCCAGAGTCCCACCCCCCGGTACTGTTGTCCTTGATGCACTCGGACCCTTAAGATACCCAAGCCACTTGGTGGTCCATGACTCTGTGTCATGCTTTCTTGGGGCTGGAGGTGGAAGGGTGTGAGTGTGTCCACCCCTAAGCGGTGCTTCTGGAGTCCAGGGTTTCCATGGAGTAGTTCTTGGAAGCAATTCCATGAAACAGTAACAGTTGGGAGCAGAAGTCAGGGAAACATACTCTATGCTAACAAGGGAATAGTGAAGCTGGCATTGAATTACCTCCCACACCACAAAGGGCTGGGATATGGATGTATGGGGGAAGGGGAGGATAGCTGAGTGACTTCACCATGCGGTTTTCAGAATTGCCCAACCCCCTTCCCTAGGATGCACTCACCCCCAGGTGCATCTTTGGACCCTCCTATAGATAGACCTCTGGTGACCTTCCCAAACACTGGAAGGTCCTGATACTCCAGCAGCACTTGCACACTGGATGTCATTTGAGAGAACCTGGACCCTGGGCCAGTTGGTGGTTACCACTTGTTCTGATACTTGTCACTATTATCTCCAGGTGTCTCCATGAATCGAGATGCTTCCATGTTTTCTCTGCCCTTCCTGTTCCCTTCTGGGACAAACTCAGTGGAACTGGGCCATAAAGGCCCTGACATTAGGCCAGGTGGGTGAGGTGGAGGCCTGTGCCCAAGTCTCTATCATTGGATCCCCAGCTCTCTAGCAGAGGCCTCCCTCCAGTCCCTCCTGGTCCTCACTGTAGGACCTGGTAGGCCAAGAGCCAGGTTCTCTACTGAGTCTCTTTTAGGTGACAAGTAGCAATGATGGCAGATGCTGATGCTGCCACCCACAGGGTAGAGGGTACTCCTAGTCATTCCAATCCCTCCTCCAAGTCTCCATCCATTCGTATGAACAAGAAAAGCCTCAGTAAGGGATGTTGTACCTGAGCCTCTTTCCTTAGAGACCTGGCGTGGCTCCTGCCTAGGCCCTTTGGGGTTTCCCAGGCCCTCCTGGGCAGAGCTGATACATTTGTCCAGAAAACAGCTGTCCTTGCTGCAGTAGTGACCAACCTCTGTTCCGTCTTTCCTTTCTGGACTTCCTCATATGAGACTGACACGGAGAAGTGGCTGAGGTTTACTTTCCCTCACGACGTGTGGTCAGAAAACCGCAGCTGAGCCCCTGCCGTGTTGCACATTGCCCTGCACCTGGCTGAGTGCCACTCTGTGGCCCAACACGGGCCTCTGCATGGGAGCAGAGGCAGTGCCACCGCCTCTAATGTCCAGAGAGCTTGAGCCGCAGAGTCGGCTGCCAGTCTGCGGAGAAGCGAGGTGGGCTGCCCCCCTCCCCCGGCCTCTATGTTGCTCTCTGTCTGATGGGTCACTTAGCTACAAAACTTGTGACCTGGTGTCTTAGACATAGCTCTTTCCATTTTTACTAACTCTCTGCCCTGCCCCATGAGACCCAGACATGAACCCAGAGAGGGCTGGGTTAAGAGACAAGTCTAAATGGTGACGACCGCATTGTAGTCATCCCTCCAAAGGCCGTGGCTTTGTGACTGAATCGGGCTTGTTTGCTTAACTTTCTCTTCCTTTAGGGTGACCTTACTATCTCCTGGAAGACTGCTCAGGCCTTCCCACCCCACCAGACAGGGCTGAAATCCTGCAGTGGGCGCAGCTCAGACTGGGGACCAACCCCACCAGCCACGCCCCCTGCCTGGCGTTAAAGTGAAGGTGCATGTGTGTCTAACTCGTGGCTAATTTAATAAGCAAAACTATCTGCTAACATTGTATTATATTAATAGAAATCTCCATTTCTAGGAGAGAAGTAATAGCAAAACCAATCCCTGAATACCCATCACCCAGCTTTGACAACCAACATCACGCTGTCATTTTCCTTTCATCTATTTCCCCCACCCTTTTTATTTTTCCCTTTGCCGAGATATTTTAAAGCAAAGCACATTTAATTTGTAACACTCCAATGCATATATCTAACAGATAACAGCTTTTAAAAACATAACCACAACTCCATTACCACACCAACAAAGGCAACAATTCGTTTTTGTTAGATCCTCAAATATTGACAGTACAGATGATGCTGTACTTGATTTTGTGGCACTTCATTTTAATTTGCGGTTTAGTGTTTTCATATATTACTTTCTACTTATTTCTTTTCAGGTGAACACTTTTCATAAAATGTATTCATTTAGGTGCAGGTGACTCTCACATCGGAGTGCCCCTAACTCCTTAACCTCTGCATGTTGCTGGGCTCGTTTACTAAATCCCAGCACCAAACCATCCAGAACCACATAAAATGGTAGGAAACCGTCTACACCATTTGTGTATAGAGATGGGTAATTGTAGGTAAAAAGCTATAAGGGCTTTACCATGACATAAATATGCAGGCCTTTTCATTCTAAGAGTTTACCAGAATGAGAAATAAAGATGGCTATAAGAGAAGTTTTGATACATTCCTAAATGACAACACTGGAGCAAGGTGTGCTAGGAAGACACAGGTGAAGCCCTGACATCTTGGAGAGAAAATTGCAAATTCTGTGTACCAATCAGGGCAGGCACGTGGTCTTGAAAGACCATGGGGCCAATCCCATGTGGCTTTCTTGTGCATTTTGAAAAAAAAATTCCATGTTCTTATTGCTTGACAATTGGCCTTGGCCTGCCTTGTTGGTGGTTCTTCCTTTCTTCCTTTCTCTTAGATCCCCAAATATGGAGGGTAGATGATGCTAGAGTCATAGAAAACCAATGTTGTCATCAGTAAATGCTTCTCAGACATCTACTTTGGGTGGGACAGTGGAGGGTCTTAGGCTGAGAGTCTGGAATCCTGGACATTGGACCCACTTGGCCTCAGTTTTTTCAAATCCCTATGCAAGTTGCTCATCTGATTCCTGTTTGGATTAGTTTCCTCATCTGTTGGGCCTATAAAAGTTTTCATGTGGCCACTCTGATAGATTGGTAGCAATAACTTGGAGAGCTGTGCTGGGAAGGACATCAGGCTACCTTCAGGCTTTTGGGAAGTACCGCAGTGGTCAATTTGAGATGCCCGTTGCAGGCCCAGGGTAGGGGAGTGGTGGTGTGACTGCCACATATTTGATTCTAGCTGCTATTTCACATTCAGGTTTGAACATTCTGGTTGCTAGAGCTATACAAAGAAGTAGGCCTTCTCTGCCTTGCCCTCAGGGAGCCCACCACACAGGTGAGAAGACAACATGGGAACCCACAACAAGAGGGTATCGTGATGATGTTGGCAACCTCAGCCGACTGTTAGTGCATGATTTAGAAAATAATTGCTATGAGAGTAAATTCAATAGTCTGGGGCTTGAGACAGCATTTTTATCCGGTTGGTTGTCGATTTGTAAAGCACACAGAGAAATATTAGCTGGAGGCAGGGTAAGGGAGGAGGCGCCTACAGCTCAGAACATGTCACACCCTCCCAGGGGAGGCGTTATGACCTATCTTCAAAAGGCACTTTTTAATGCCCCTTAAAAGGGACAGAATGCACCCTGGTTGAGAAGTTGTTGGGTGGCTGCTTGCTTAACCCTCAGAAATGTCTCACGGTTCCCAGGCTGCCCATCTGGTTCTCATATTTTCATGCGACTCACTCTAATGACTGAGCGGGTGTGGTGAGGGCCTTGCTGAGGCACCTGGGAGCCAGGCCTCAGGCTTCCTTCTGCTATCTGCCTTGCACGATCTGGGGACCCAGGGCGTCTTTAAACCTCTGAACTTCTGCTCCTTTTTCTAGCTGTGTGTAATGGCACCCACCTGGAATCGGGGCGTGTTTGAAGGCTTGCTTAATTTAGT